CCAGCCCGACACACTAGAAGGGCTGTGGAGCGTCATCAAGTCAAACCTCTCAGTGCTCACATCTGAGTTTGCTCCGTTAAGGAGGATTCTCAGAAACGGCAAGCTTCCCTGGTGGTCGAGAAGGGGAGCAAAGGCACAAGCCCGAAAGCGCAAAGCTTGGAGGCAGTACCTCAGGACCCGTAGCCACCATAGGTATCTCCATTACGTCAGGGAAAGAGATAGGGCCATCAGTGCCCAGACGGCCTGTCGTAGGGCCTACGAAATGAGGCTAGCGCGGCGGATACTCGTGTCCAACGGCTTGACGAACCTGTTCGCCCGGTTCACTCACTTCGTGGCCTGGTTCGTTCGTTCACAGACACACACACACATCCAGTCAGTCACCTAGTTAGCCCGTTCACAACCCGCACGCACGCATAACTACTTATCAATATCGGATCTTTGATTGCTCATGTCACCTGGCGGCAACGGTTGCAACACAACTACCATTACTAGCGGACCCAGTGGCACGGTGGTCCCGAATAACAGTACCGGCAATTGTCACAACGGCACAACTGGCGTATCCCAAAGTCCGAGCACAACCACGTCCTCTACTGTGTCCCATTTGCAAAAGGACACCACGCTGACCAAGATATTTGTGGGCGGTTTGCCGTATCACACGACCGATGACAGTTTGCGATGTTTTTTCGAACAATTCGGCCCGATCGAGGAAGCCGTGGTCATTACCGATCGACAGACTGGAAAAAGTCGTGGTTATGGATTTGTAACCATGGTACGAAGCGAAGATGCTCTCCTAGCCATCCGTGAGTTAAACCCGTGTGTTGATGGACGCAAAGCGAATGTGAATTTAGCCGTCCTTGGAGCGAAACCACGTCTTATGCCCGGTGCCTCGACCACGCTCCGCACGTTTTTCCCTCTCCATTCTGGGCTAACTTCAACCGATCTTCAAGCGGCAACGAATTATTACAACCCAGCAGCCGTGGCAGCAGCAGCTGCTATGAATCCCATGATGACAACTGACTTCCTATCTAATTTTGCAATGCCCGCAGCTATGGCCGCGGCCGCATCGCCTGCTGGATTGGGCGGCCTGATGCAAACTCCAGGAACTGCGCTAACAGCC